TATATAATAGCAAAGTTTGTCCTGACCATCCCTTTGGTGACCTTATAAAGCAAATTTTCAGCTCTGTTGTCAGTAGGCTTTGATACACTGTGTGCAGTATTTGTTTGGAGTAGCATCTGCATAATGTTGTTTATAATCACATAACTTATACTGTCTGGTTACTTAATGATGAAACGTGATGTTCATGTTTTTATCCATGTTATCTCTTTTGAAACTAGTTTAACACTTTATTGAGCACTTAACGTGTCACGCGTATCAAGGAAATGTCTAACCTGCAGAAAACAGGGCCAGTGCCAAACTATGTCAAGTCGACCCTGGTCTTTTCCTGAGTCACAGCCTAACTTAGCACTTTCAAAGCATTTTCTTAAAAGAAAGAATTCCAAAAAGAATTCCATATAAAAGATTTACGTTTGTTTTAGTTTGGCTGTTCATATTCAATATCCTAGACTTGTGTTTACTATGTAGAGTCAGTTTGCTGTCTTTTGCAGTTAGATACATTATCTGTTGTTAAATATTAAGTAAATTATAAATACTAAATGAGAGAGTAACTTGGCAACTTTTGAACTTGGCTTCTATGAAAAATCGAATGATGCAAGTTTTAAAATGTTCAAATTGGCAATTATTTTTTAGCAAAATATATGCTGTGATGAAACAAATCATTCATGGACACAGATACATTTTCCTATTTTATTGAAAAAAAAAAATATATATATATACTGTATACACATATATATTATATGATTGTAGTATTTATTAATATTTTGAAGTAGCTTTTATTTTCATAATTTCATATTGTGCTGTTGTGTGTATGTGTTTTTAATTGTTCTATTTAACTTAAATTTATTTTTATTTCAATTTTAGTTTTAGTATACATATATACTGCTTTATCAAAATTTGTTTTAAGTTTGAATTTGAATTTGAATTAATTTATGAATATTTTATAAATTAAAATTCCATGGCTGGCTGTACGGGCATATGAAATTTTAATGGACTTCATCAACAGATGTGCACGCAAATAATATCGTCATGCATGAATCATGTGTGATTGTGTTTGTGTTAATTCTCCATTATACTTATTCTCTTAAATATTGTCCATTAGCTCCCACCTTCAGATAGAGTTGTGCCAGCAGATGGTACAGAGGTACAGGAGATGCCTGCTGACGTTGCCAAGACGTCTGATGGGAGTCCGAATCAGCCTGCAGGATTTGATATGATCTACAGAATCGAGGACGTCCCGCCTTGGTATCTGTGTGTGTTGCTGGGACTGCAGGTACACTTCTATTCTCATACTCTCTCCTAGTCTGACTCTCCCAACATCCCCATCCCTTCTAAACCTATATCTGTATGTTCTGCCTCTGGATCTCCAGCACTACCTAACATGCTTCAGTGGAACTATTGCTGTACCATTCCTATTGGCTGAAGCCATGTGTGTGGGGCAGGACCAATACACTGTCAGCCAGTTAGTGGGCACCATCTTCACCTGTGTTGGGATCACTACGCTCATACAGACTACATTTGGTGTCAGGTGAGTTATTTAATGTGTGCTTTGGTATGGAAATATGTGATTAGCTCCTGAAGGTACAAACAGTGTTACAGTCTAGATAATTTCAGATGTATTCCATCTTGCACAAACCAATACCCTCTTTTTCATTTTGTTTTTGTATTTTGTCTGATACTGTTTCTATGGTTAACTCCTCAGAGGCTATATTACTGAAACTTCTATGCTTAATTCTTGACTTCAAAAATGAAAATTCTGTCATTGTTTACTCACCTAATCTCATCTAAACCTGAGTTTCCTTCTTCTGTTGAACACAAAAGAATATATTTTGTAGAATGTTGGTAACTAAACAGTTGATATGGTAGCCATTGACTTCCATAATATTTTTTTTCTATTATGGAAGTCAATGGTTACCGTCAGCTGTTTTGGGGTGAACTACACCTTTAAGATTTTGTTACTAAGCAGATAGGATAATATTCTAAGTTAAGATGTTTCTGTAATATAGCCCCAGTATAACTATACTAACAACTATACTAACTTATCTAGCTGTGGTTACTGAAACAATGTTTACAAAGCTCCCTGCAACAAATCTCGAATTACATAGACCCAAAACAGTAAGACTAAAACAAATTGAAACTGAAGGGGCTTTGAGATATTTTAATATACCATGTAAAAAAATAAAATAAAATAAAAAGTGAAATGGCTTAATTCATCTTCATGATGCACATGTAAACTATAGTTTAAACCCCTATTTCTGTCATGACAACTCTCGGAGGGATTGGCATGGTAATGTACATGACAATGTTACTGTTTTTGGTCTTGGCGGAATAGATCTGCTACGCTGCTGCTGCTGCTGTGGCAGAGCAAGTACCGAGACTTGCTACTGCCAATACATCCACAACATGCTGCTGTGAGCGTGTAAGAAATATTGCTGCTGCAAACATAACATACATGAAATAACCCCCATATAGCATACATGAATCACCTCGTAGCAGATCTATACAGGTGGAGCTGGGGAAGGTGGAGGGTTTCTGAAGCAATCTGCAACTGCTATGGCAAGCACTAGTCATATATTTGAATGTTGAGCAGCGAGCTCATTGGCTACTGCTACAGGAGAGAACCAATCAGCTGTGCCATGTGATAATGATGTCGTTAGGTCAGATTGTGTTAGACCTATCGGACTGTGCCATCTAGAGTTTCATGCCAGAACTCTGTATTTCTGTGGTCAGTCAGAGTTTTGTCTTTTTTTTTCTTTCTTTTTTTTTTGGTTTTCAGGAAGGATGCGTTAAAGACATTTATAATGTTTCTAAAGATTTCGATGAAATAAATGCTGTTCTTTTTATTCATCAAATAATGAATGCAGTGGAGTGGAAAAGACTGCACATCTCATGACGTGTTTTTAAAAGTGGAACAGCTTTTAATTTAACACAGTGTTTAAAAAATATAGCACTCTCCTTAAAAAGCAACAAGAATCACATTTACTTAGAAAAACTATTACACAGTTTTGCATTTTGTGCAAATTAGCCCTTCTTCTAGAAAGTATTGTCTAATGAGAATCTGTTTACATTCCACATTGTGCAGGTCAGATCTGTGTCTAAGTTAATGCTTAACCTTGGTTTTGGGTTTCACAGAGGAGATTTACGGAGATTGGTCTCTTCCTCTCAACACTTCTCATATTTGGCAACCACGGATACGAGAGGTGCGTGACCAATATCCAAAGACTGAAACATTCATCAATGCCTACATAAATCCTGTTTCCTGATCTGTGTGTGTGTCAATTCTTTGTAGATTCAGGGCGCTATCATTATCTCCAGCCTGACTGAGGTGGTCATAGGGTTTGCTGGAATCCCTGGGATCCTGCTTAATTCAATCGGGCCCCTGACTGTCACTCCCACAGTGTCCCTGATCGGCTTGTCTGTCTTCCAGACAGCAGGAGACCGTGCAGGCAGTCAGTGGGGCCTGTCTCTGCTGTGAGTCCTTCAGCTCTTTAAATACATTTGGTTTAGCTCTACACTAACTGTTTTTGCTTTAATACATCTGTGTGTTTTGGCATTCCAGGTGTGTCTTCCTCATTGTGTTGTTCGCTCAGTATCTAAGGAACTGGGCATGTCCTTTCCCAAGCTACTCCAAACAAAAAGGCTGTCACATCACACACGTGCAGATATTCAAGATGTTTCCAGTACGAGCTAATATTCAACACCCAGCTCTTTGCATTTAGACAATATCATAAACCATAGAGCTAAGCAATTAACAGTATTTATCACATTTAATTAAACTTCCTGATAGGACTTTGATCAAAGTTCACATTACCCCATGTGGCGCATGTTATCAGTGCATTTTCAGGTTGAACTGCTCACTTTCAAACATTTTGTCTTTAGTAATCGATTATCCTGATTTCAGTAGATCATCATGGCAATCATGGTGGTATGGCTGGTTTGCTACATTCTCACCCTGACGGATGTGCTGCCGAACGACCCGAATAAGTATGGCTACAAGGCTCGCACTGACGCCCGGGGCGATATTATGACCCAGGCGCCGTGGTTTCGTTTCCCCTATCCATGTAAGGACCTTGCTTGCTTCCTGTATCGCACACCTATGAGTTATAACAGCCTCTTTATCAGAAAATGTCACTTGTGGCTAATATCTAATCTAAGACTTTACTTTTTTCACAGTAAAATGATTAGAAGTATGATTAGAGAGAAGGATATTGGTGGGTTAATGGCTGAACTCTTTCCAAATCAGATTTTGTGTGTGTCTCAGGTCAGTGGGGTTTACCCACAGTGACGGTAGCAGGAGTGCTGGGAATGTTTAGTGCCACTCTAGCTGGTATTGTTGAGTCTATTGGAGACTATTATGCCTGCGCTCGTCTCTCTGGAGCTCCACCTCCTCCTGTTCACGCTATCAATAGGTAAGGACAATAAGCAGTAGAAAACGACATTATTACCTTTTAAGGGGGGTCATATCATGTGGAATCAGATTTTCCTTCTTTTTTTTTTAATAAAATAATTAAATGTGACCCTGGGCCACAAAACCAGTCTTAAGTCGCTGGGGTATATTTGTAGCAATAGCCAAAAATACATTGTATGGGTCAAACTTATCGATTTTTCTTTTATGCCAAAAATCATTAGGATATTAAGTAAAGATCATGTTCCATGAAAATATTTTGTAAATTTCCTACTGTAAATATATTAAAACTTCATTTTTGATTAGTAAAATGCATTGTTAAGAACTTAATTTGGACAACTTTTAAGGCGATTTTCTCAATATTTTGATTTTTTTGCACTCGGATTCCAGATTTTCAAATAGTTGTATCTCGGCCAAATATTGTCCAATCCTAACAAACCATACATCAATGGAAAGCTTGTTTATTCAGATTTCGAAAAGTTGACCCTTATGACTGGTTTTGTGGTCCAGGGTCACAAATGTACTGTAAATTTCAGAACTTTTTAAGATTTGTTAACCTGTAAAGCCTGACATATAAAATAACGTTCAGTATGTTTGCACACAAAAAGTATTCTCGTAGCTTCATAAAATTAAGGTTGAACCACTGATGTCACATGGACTATTTTAATGATGTCCTTACTACCTTTCTGGGCCTTGAACGTGTCTATGCAGGGTCAGAAAGCTCTCGGATTTCATCAAAAATCTCTTAATTTCTGTTCCAAAGATGAACAAACGTCTTGCGGGTTTGGAATGACATGAGGATGAGTAATTAAAGACATAATTTTTCATTTTTGGGTGAATTATCCTTTATCAGACAGTTTTTTTTTTTTTAAAGTAACATGTTTGATACATCAGGCTTTTGTGGCTCATATACTAATAATCAAAAAATATGGAGCTCACATTAGAGTACGAAAAAAACACCAATTTTATTCAGAGGCCCAAATTGAGGAAAAAAATATGCAGTTTAGTGTGGTTGCTGATATTTATATGGCAATATAAAATTCTGATAGCTTGTAATGTAAATCTATGAAATCTGAACTGTATAAAATGCATATACGTATCAGTTGTTACTCTGTAATAATGTCTCATTTGGATGATGCATTAAATGCTTAGTTTTATGATCTGAAGTTTTTATTGTGGTTTGAGAGAGATGATTGGGAGATGTAAAAAAAAAACCTTTCTGAAAACATAATTTTTAAAAAATATGATGTATGGATAATCACGTAAATCTAAGTTGCTTCAGTCCAGTAGTGTTTTTCTTGAAATATTACTAACAATATAAAAGTTATTCTTTTGTTTACTTCATAAAAATCTGTTGAGTTCACAGCAAAAAGACACATGTGCCATAACATGAAGGGGGACATTTTTAAAATCATAAATCAGATAACAGAAGGAATGAGATATATTGTGTACAACAGGTTTCAATATATTTTAGAGGCCTTAGAAGTTATAATACTGTAGGCTTTAAAGGGTTAAAATGGAGTGGCAAAAACAGCCAAAATGTTGTGACATCACACTAATGATTGCATCAACACATGTGACACGGCCCTCTGTGTTTATATGCAAACAGTTATTTGGAGAAACTCATCCCAGAGGAAGTAGGATAGATACTATTTGTCCTAAGCAACGAAGCAATTAACCCGAGTAAACAGTGGTGAAGTCCTTTAAACATTGTGCTATTCCTGGCTGTGTGTAGCACCTACCACTCTGCATATCCTTTTGAAGGATCTCAACATTAGGAAAGAGAGACTTGGTGATTTATGTATACTTTACTATCTGTTTTCTTTCCTAGGGGGATCTTTACAGAGGGAGTGTGCTGTATCATAGCGGGGCTGCTGGGCACAGGAAATGGATCGACCTCTTCCAGTCCTAACATAGGGGTGCTTGGCATCACCAAGGTGAGGTAGTGGGAGCTCTTAGGCTCTTTATAATACTAGTGTATATTAGAAAGCATTCAGTAAATGCAGTTCTAGTATCTGTATTTGTGACATCTGATAAGAGTCCCTCAGGGAGTTGCATACAGATATACTATTCATAACTCTCCTCTTGTCTCCTCAGTTGCTTTGTTTCCACTGACACCATTCATTTTGTAAATCTGCTTTGTGTCGACTGTGGTTTCCCTGGTGTCTTGATTTCTCCTGCAGGTGGGAAGTAGGAGGGTGATACAGTATGGAGCAGGCATAATGCTGTTATTGGGAACTATTGGGAAGTTCACCGCCCTGTTTGCCTCCTTACCCGACCCTGTCCTCGGAGGGATGTTCTGCACCTTGTTTGGTAACAAGCTTGTTGGATCTATTGGCATTTGCAGATGTTTTGTCCCAGCTTTGTCCACAGGGTGTCAGTAAAGAGCCCAGAAACTCTGTAGTAACTGCAGATTTGCTCCATCCAAGTCAACAGTATGCCATGAATGAATTTTATATTTCAAACCTTTCAAACCTACAACATTGAAAATTGTTTTTCTTTTAAGAAATTAATGCTTTTATTCAGCAAAGATGCATTAAATTGATCAAAAGTGACAGATTCAGGGTTTTTATGAATCAAATAAAATAGAAAAAACAAACCTATTTTATTTCAGCAAGGCATCATTTTTCATATCCATTTCTCATTTAACTTGATGTACTCAAATAACTAATACTAAATGAAATGAATAAAAACTATGTAAACATGTTGAAAAACAACTACAAATAAAATTGACAAAAACACACAAAATTAATAAAACTTTAAAATTAAAATGAAGGTAGAAAATATAAAAATAAAATCTAATTCAAAATATTAACAAACACTAATGATACTAAAACTCAATTATACTAAAAGAACACTGGATAGATTTCTATTTCTAATAAATGCTGTTCTTTTGAACTTACTATTCATATTATAATCCTGAAAGGAATGTATTATGGTTTCCACTAAAATATTAAGCAGCACAACTGTTTTCAATATTGATAGTAATAAGAAATTATTATTATTAATGATTTCTGAAGGATCATGTGACATTGAAGACTGGGGTAATGGCTGCTGAAAATTCAGCTTTGCCATCATAATACATTACATTTTAAAGGGATAGTTCACCCAAAAATGAACATTCTGTCATTAATTACTCACCCTCATGTCGTTTCAAACCTGTAAGACCTCCGTTCATCTTCGGAACACAAATTAAGATATTTTTTATGGAATCTGAGAGCTCTCTGACCCTCCCATAGACAGCAACTCAACTGAAATGTTCCCAAGTCCAGAGACATAGCAAGGAGATCGGTAAAATAATCCATGTGACATCAGGGGTTCAACCGTAATTTTACGAAGCTACGAGAATACTTTTTGTGCGCAAAAGAAAAAACAATTACGACTTTATTCAACAATTCGTTTCCTCCGCGTCACCCTGTAGTGCTATTTTGGAGAGTATCTGCTGGATGTAAACACCATATGCTGTTCTGTGTCAGCTGCGTCACACCGGGATATGCTATTTTCGTTCAGATCAAATCACAACAATGTAGGAAACAGATCCGGTGTGGCGCAGCTGGCACAGAACAGCATACGCTGTTTACATCCAGCGGATACTCTCCAAAATTGCGCTAGGGTGACGCAGAGGAGACGAATTGTTGAATAAAGTCGTTATTTTTTTTCTTTTGCGCACAAAAAGTATTCTCGTAGCTTCGTAAAATTACGGTTGAACCCCTGATGTCACATGGATTATTTTACAGATCTCCTTGCTACGTCTCTGGACTTGGGAACATTTCAGTTGCGTTGCTGTCTATGCAGGGTCAGACAGCTCTCAGATTCCATCAAAAATATCTTAATTTGTGTTCCGAAGATGAACGAAGGTCTTACGGGTTTGAAACGACATGAGGGTGAGTAATTAATGACAGAATTTTCATTTTTGGGTGAACTATTCCTTTAAAATATTTTAAACGAGAAAACAGTTATTTTAAATTGCGATAATATTTCACAACATTGCAGTTTTCACTATATTTTGGATGAAATAAATGCAGCCTTGGTGAGCTCAAGAGACGTTTAAAAACTCTTTCTAACCCCAAACTTCAGAACTGTAGTGTATATGTATTTTGTGTAGTTTAAACTTGTTTTTTTTGTGTGTGTGTTTTTAATTTGTACACAGGTATGATTACAGCTGTTGGACTGTCAAACCTACAGAGTGTGGATCTGAACTCCTCCAGAAATCTTTTCGTTCTGGGTTTCTCCATGTTTTTTGGCCTCATGTTGCCTAATTACCTGGAATCTCATCCAGGCAGCATTAAAACAGGTTGATAAGCCAGACAGTGTTTTCTGATATATTTTGTTTTGCAGTAGGAATGCTGTGGCTGTTGTCACCTATTACTGTGAATAAACATGTTTTGATTGATTTTAACAGGTGTAGCAGAGCTGGACCAAATCATCACAGTGCTACTGACAACAGAGATGTTTGTAGGGGGATTCATAGCATTTGTACTTGATAACACAATCCCAGGTATGTGAAAGCATTACGTATACAAATATACAAATGCATTGGATAAATACCATGGCACATGCCATTCTGCATTCATCATTTCTACATTTTGTGTGCAGGCACTAGAAAAGAGCGAGGTCTCATTGAATGGGCGGCTGAGAATTATTCAGGAGCAGGAATAGTAAAAACAGATACATATGACTTTCCAATTGGGATGGGGCTGGTCCGGAAGCTGGGCTGTCTGCGCTACCTGCCAATCTGTCCCACTTTCCGAGGCTTTAAGCCATCATGTCGCAAATATGAGGAGGAGGAGGAGGACATAAAAATAAAGGAAGGTGTGATTGATGCTCCAGTTGAAATGGTCTGCACCAAAATTTAGCCATATTTTTTATTTGACTTGGTTTAATATATAATGTATGCTGTTTGGGTGAAGCTGAACCTTTTTCAAAACTGAGCACCAATTTTGCTGTCAAGATTTTTGATTTGTTTCTTCAATTTTGCATCTAAAACAGACAAGAAAAATGCACCATTAGAGAATGGGTGCATATATTTAAAGGAAAACTTGAATGAACAGTTTGAGAACAAAGGGTCTCTGTTCTTTTCACATCAAACCAAATGTAAGATTTGATTTGATTATAAAGCATTACGCGTTTTATTGAAATTACTTCAAAAGAAAATGAAGGTCAGGTTTTTTTTTATTTATTACCTCTTGATTGTGTACAAAATATGTAAGTGATTAACACTAAACAAAATGTGTTCAGAAATGTCTAGCTTCAGAAAATACTTAATAAAATACACAGAAATCATAATTTATATACATATTATTGTAACTAATAATGTTTATAAATACTAAAAGTGTACTATGTATTCCATAAGAGCCAAAGAACAAACGATCATGTGGACATTCAGTTTTGACAAAGATGTGCTTAAGTTATTTTGTATTAAAATCTAACTTTAATGTCTTTCTGTCTGTCTAAAACATTTTTTGTCTGTGCACATTACAAAAAGGTTCAAAAGGTTAGAAAAACATCATGTAGTATGAACTAACAATTAACATTTTTTGCAGCATTTATTAACCTAGGTTCATTTTATTTAGAAATGAATTATTTATAATATTTATTAGAATTGTTCATTGTCAATTTATGTTACAAATTTTAATTTATACATCTTAAATATTAAAGTGTTAAAATGTATGGGTATATGTAAAAAAATAATATTAACCAAGATTAGTAAATGCTGTAAAAGTACTGTTCATTGTCAGATTATGACAACTAACATTATTAACTAATTTTAACCGACTGAACCTTATTGTAAAGGACATTTTTAACAACAAACAGTAATGCGGCAATAAACATGGGAACTAAAACATTATGTAGTGGCTCTGATTCCATACAGCCCAGAGGCTCTGATTTACTGCAGTGTTTGGTCTAAAAAAATCTTCCAGAAGGTTCGGCCCTGTTTAATCTTCTCTATTGATTTTTAAGGAAATATCTATGTATTCTCATCCATCCTCTCACTGTGTTCACATCTGACACCAGAACATTCGGTCATGCGCCAATAGTATCAGTTAAATATAGTCAATAAGCCATCCTGAATCTCAGATAACACCTCTGTGGATTAAAGAAAAGGTCTCTCATAAACAAGTGTCAGGTGTCAGTAGGAGAACAATGAACACATTTTTGGGGCAAATTGATTTTGAAACCAGTTCACATCAAAATTTTTGGTCACGCTTTATTTTAAAGTCCAATTCTCATTATTAACTAACAATTAACTCTGACTTTTGCCTCATTTTGCTGCTTATTAATAATACTAATAATCAGTAAGGTAAGGTTGTTGTTAAATTTAGGTATGGGTTAGCATTAAGGGATTTTATATATGGTCATGCAGAGTTAAGCATTAATATATGCTTTATAAACAGCCAATATGCTAGTAATATGCTTGCTAGTTAATAGTGAGAATTGGTCCTTAAATAAAGTGTTACCAATTTTTTAAAGATACAGGATAAGACACAAATTCTGTTTAAGTTTACAAATGTAAAAAAATAAAGTGTTCTCATGAAGTGCTTAATTAAGCCATTGTTTACATGAAGCAGAGCCATGGTTTTGCTCAATCTGCCATTTAGTAAATATAAATACAATTTACAATAACAAAATCATGACCTTTGTCATTCCTTCTAAACAAGCTCAAGACACTCCAGTCCCTTGGTGAGTCTCAATTGCCCATACCAGAGGTGATCTGAGCCCCTCTCCCTTCAAAGCCCCTGCTCTGTTTATGTAGCCTGAATGTGTGAATGCATATGCATCTTACAACATTTCAACAGATATAATCAGTCTCACCCATGTCAGCTGCCAAGTCCAGAGGTAGCCTTTACGAAGCAAGGAGTGTTGAATGCAGTGCTAACTGAATACGCTTTTAGCTTTGATGCCTTGAGGCCAGGGCAGCAGATGGTCAACATGTTTCACTCATCCAGAAGCTTATAAACAGCTCCTTTCCAGCACTTAATAGGCACTGGGTAATCTGATCCTTGGGCATGACTTATTGTCTTTTACAGTCTATAGGTCCCATCAGGTTTCATTGTCCTGGTGGTGGGAGCACCTGAGGATGTGACTGTACGTAAGGTAAGCACTGTGGGGTGTACATGGGTGGGATGTGAAGAGAGGCAAAGGGTATGGCACAGGGTGTGGGCAAAACGGCACTGGGAAGCGTCTGCTGTGGCAGTAGGACCTCGACATACTGGCAAGTTTCTGGATCAAACAGCATCTTGCGCTGTGGCAGCTGAGGCAAGTCCACATAGAAATAGCTGCCGGTTTCCGGGTCGAGCAACAGTTGGCGGGGGGTTTGTCCTGCTGCAACACTTCCTCCTGCGTCTGGATACAGCACACCTGTAACCCCAAGCCTGGCTTCTGCACTCATGGGAGCAACAAAGATTGTGTTGTGTTGGCTTTCTGGAGAAGATATTTTCATCCCTGCTTCCCCGTTCTGAGCTTGACTGGTTGAGCCATCTGTTGGCTGCACTAACGTTGTTCCATCCTCAGAGAGGGATCTCAGTAGGGGGGTATGACTGTTTGATGCAGAGGGCTGGTTGTAAAGAGGTGTTTGAAACATGACAGGCCCTTGAACATAGCCATGAACGGCTCCAATATGAGGAGAGATTGTCTGGTAACCCAGCGGACTGGGTTTGTAATAATATGAGGGAACCATGGGTGTTGAAGCAACCGTTAGGACGCAAGCAGACAGAGGCCCCACTGAACTTTGTGACCTGGGAGGAAGGCATGGGGTCTGGAGGCCATCACTGATTATCTTGCCATAGTCCTGTTGCTCAGAACTTGCTGTGGGTGGACAATATTGCAGAGCTACTGGGAAGAGTTTGTCAGAGCTGATGGTCATCTCATGCTCTGCCTTGTTCACGTCTCCTTTTGTAGGCCTCTCAGTAGAGGCCTCCTCTTTAGCTTTCAGTGCCAGGTCTGTCCCGTTTGTCAGTTTCAAGTTTGTATCGCTGACTACAACATCAGGTTTACTCATGCCAACTTGGCTATCCTGTGTCTCTGAGGGCTTTGACAAGGCACAGCTGTTTGCCTTGGTTATACTAATTGGGCTGACCTTTGTAAATCCAACAGTATGACTTTTGTCATTCGATTCTACAGGAGGCATTACCTTAGTCGAGCATCCTCTCGTTGCAGAATGATCCCCCCTTCTGTCCAGTGAAAGAGGTGGAGTGACTTTCCGTACCAGGGGGTTTTCTTCTGATCTGTATCCCTTTCCCTTACCTTTACCCTTGTTGTTGCTTAAATTGTGTACTGATGGCTGAAACAAAAGAGCACTCACATCTATTCCATGGGCTGATTCCCCTGCACCTTTGAAGGACATGTTGTATGTGTTTTTCACTAGGCTTCTCATGTCTCTTACTACATGCACAGGGGCCATGGCTTTCAATTTGCCTTGGCTTTGCATACCTAGGATTGCAGACTCTCCTGGTGACTTGACTTCCTCTCTGTCACTCTCTTGCTCCTTTCCAACACTGCTCTCATCAGCTTGCGGGATTGTGTTATCCACTGCTTTTGCTTCCAAATCAGAGATTAGGCATGCAATATTGGTAGGACTGAGTGTACTTTCCATGGTACCAGCCTGTTGCTCCTGCTTTTCCAGCACATTGGTTAGGGTCATATTGTGTTGTTTATGGATTCCTTGCCCTGTATGACATTCTTCAGGTGTGGTTTTCACAGAGGTCTGTGTGCTGATGGCTACGTTTGTTGCTGCACTCGAATTCCATGCTCTGCCCTTTGCTGAGTCACAAGATAGCTTCCCTCCAGGGCTCAGGTTAGGCAGCCGCAACACCTCCTCTCTTGGGCTCAACTTCTCTGCTTTCTCATTCTCTGAAGGGTCGGTTATTTCAGTGCCACTGCCTTGAGCTTCAGACCTGCCAGTTGTGCTTAAAAGAGGATTGAAGCCATGTTTGCTCAGCAGCTTGGGTTGTGTTTTTGAGTTAACACTGCAGTGCTTTTGAACAGGGCTGCACTCTCTCTGGGCCTCCCTCTTAAGAGTTGCACTTTGATTTAGTTTGGTAGTTTCAGCATATATCTCCTTGCCAGACAAATAGATGCATTCCTCAGTGGTAGTAGGCCTGTTGTTCACTTTGATAGAAGCAAAAGCTTTATCAGAAACATCCAAGGTGCGAAGATTCTGTTCATGTTGCATTTTTTTTGATAGGACATTTGTTATGATGCAGGAAGCCATCTGGGTTTTGCTGGAGGTTTCATCCAGGGAAAATGACTTCTGAAGCCTTTGCTTTCGCTCAGCCTGTACTGACCTTTGATCGGCCACATGGGACCCCTGGTTAAAAGCTGCAGGGGTGCTATGTTGACGCTGAAATATGTCCCGGGCACGCACAGGTGTGTTTGCAACCTGAAGGGTTTGATTGTTGTTCTCTCTGGCATGCGCCTCTGCTGTGTCCCGTCTCTTCAGTTGGATTTGTCTTTTGGGCACAGTCTTTAAGCCCCGGTTTACTTCATCTGTAGTTTCCAATGCCACATCAACACACTCAAAGCTGCTGGATTCTGAGCAAGCAGATGTGTTTTGAGTGTTTGAATACATCTGCATTTTAAAAGAGAGAACATCATCTGTCCAATTGTTGTGGTTTTCCTCAGCAGAGGGCTGACTTGAGGGCCTACAGCTTGAACTGAAAACATGCATGTAGTCAGTTTCAGAACAGGAAGATCTTACCTGGGCCTGGTTAACAAGGGCCCCCACCTTACTACTGGCCTCAGCAAGCTTTGTTCCCATGCTGGTTGATCCTCTGGTATTGTCTGTAGTGTGACAGGGTTGCCAAGAGCTGCAACACAGCTTGCAGGAGAGTGGTCTGGATTGCCAGGCCCCTTGCCGGCTCTGCTTTTCCAACGTCCGAGTATCAGCGAGTCTCTGTAGCTGGTGTTGGTGCCTGGTTGCGGGGATACGCTCTGAATAACAGTGCGGTGGGATTCTTGACTCCTGCTTGCTGGCTGTGAGTGTTGAGATGCAGTTTGCAGACGCTTTTCTATTTCTAGACCTGACTGACAGCTCAACCTGCTCCTTTCCGCAACTCACCCCTCTACCCTGGCCCTCCCCCTCCTTTTCCGTATGACCCAGAATATGCCCGCCTCTCTCAAGCCTGGGTGCACTCAAACGTTCCCTGGGTCTTTGCTTTTGTGTCGCGTGGTTCTCTTTTGGCTCTGTGCCACCATGCTCCTGTTCCCTACCCTTGCTGTATTGATTTCTCCCAGGCGTTATCAAAATAGTGTTTGAAGTGAATATGGGTTCTGGGGAGCTGTGCTCCTCAGCGGTTCTAATGTTAGTATGAAATACAGTCCTGCTGCCTCCAAAATAATCCCTCGGTTTAACCAATGAATCTTCTCCTGATAAATTAAGCTCGTCAGAATTATCCAGCTTTTGCACAGGGTTCCTAAAGGCTGCCTTTACAGACTGCAAATCCACATTTGTTGCTGTTGTACCTGACAGCAGATGTTTTGACTCCGATTCTAATGCTCTCTCAGTTGATGAAGGTTTATCCTGGTCACATTGGGACACATCAGGGAGCACTTCTGTACTCTTCTCTTCTTGTGTTTTGCAGTCCTGTGATAGTGTGGTTTCTGTGATCAAGGATCTTGAAGTGATGCTTTCCATAGTGGTAATGCAGTCCAAGAACTCAAATGTGCCACCTTCAGCAGGACGCTCTGTAGAGACAGTGTGTGTTGTGTCCCCTAAAGCTTCACTGTACTCACTCAGAGAACAAAGAGCAGTGTAGTATGAACTTGCCGAGTCATCCGTGATATCATCAGTCTGCTCTAGGTCACTTTCCCCTTCATCTCTTTGTTGGAGAGACAGACTGTTTTTTTCGTTGATAGATGCAGATGACTTAGACATTTCTCTTTAAATGCCACTTCAAAAATTTCCTTCTGTGGTGTCTGAAAATTTCTGATGCAATACTGGACGTTTTACACACTAGTGTGGGGTGGATGTGCAGGTCAGACCTATATTGCAAGTTTATGGTTTAAAAAAATGAGATGTTGCATCAAGATGAAACATGAGATCCAGCCTGACTGCTTCTAAGAAAAATAAAAAGAATAGAGTTGTATTTTTAGATGCTTAAAATTTGACAGAAGAAAAATCATATGTATACACATTGTTAATATAAATTATTTGTGTATTAAAAAATTATTTTTTAAATACTCAAATGGTAGCAGCGTCACTGATAAGAGTCTCATGCATTTGATTTGTGATGAATTCATTTCTTTCCATTGTATTGTATTTGACTTAACCGTGTTTGTCAAAGGAAATGCAATGTATACTAAAGAGTCTCTCACCCAATGTTAAAACTTCTCTCACCTGATCCAAGCCACCCAAAATCTTCTCCTTTTTGTTGAAACTCCTCTGAGATGTTAAATCTGAATGAGAAATCAAGGAAAAAATGTCAAAGAATTGTCAACAGACAAGATATCTATAAAAAGAAATGAGGGCAAATGCCTTTTTAAAAAGTACACTAAGCTAGGGACTGCAGAGGAGATGAATCAGACCTTATTTTTTGGCTGCTGAGGTCTGGATCATATGTTGTCCAGGCCCAGTAGTAGCTAAGGTAGTGGTGTGGCAGTCAGCTTTGACAGCAGGTGCTGGTCTGGCTGTGCTGGAGCGTTCCCTTTGGAATCTGACTAACATAGCCAGTGCAGTCACAGGGCCAGCTAAATATAGTTCCCCAGGCCCCATAACACTATCATCAGGGAGATAGGGCTGAAGTCTTCTGGGTGCACGCTGTGGTAAGTATTGGGCCTTCAAATGGCCACTGCAAATAGAATGGTCACGCTGGTTATGGAGGTATCATTTGATGGTGTAAAGTAGTCCTTTTTTAAAGTAGGCATTAAAACGATCACTATATCTAAATTAATTGTACATTGATATGAACTTTGTTTGTGTGAGGTTAATTTTGATGTGAAATGTTCTATCAGATTTACCTTAAATATGAGAGGAAGCACTGTTGTTCGAAAGCACACAGTTGTTCGAGAGCAGATGTGCACTTCCTCTCAAGTGTTTGTTGTGTGTTGCCAGCCAACTCTGGGTTGGGACTTTCACTGAATTGGCCATGACCATGCAGGCCATGAAAACTATGGCATTTGACCCACTTGGTCTCGGCTGTGCCTGATGGTTTAATGACATGATATAGTGGGCAGCAAGGATATAAGACTGCTTAATTTCACACCAGCGGTGCTTCAAAAGTTTCTTATCCGCATAGTAACACATACATCAAACCTGAGGGGACCACCGACACTGTGGTGTTAAGTTGTGAGAAGTGTATAGCATTACAGAGAGTTAAGAGCATTAGCCTATAACATAACTTCCATATTAGCATTTCACCCTGCAAATATGGTTAGAAACTTTTCAAACATGGAAATGGAAGACATAATACATAATAACAGTGAAGATTTCCACATATTCCATTTAAATGTACATTTATGCATTTAGCAGACACTTATCCAAAAAGGAACATATTTGTCTTGATTTATGATTGTTTAGTATTTAAGTGGGGGAAGTCGTGGCCTAATGGTTAGAGAGTCGGACTCGTAACCCAAGGTTGCGGGTTCGAGTCTCGTACCGGCAGGGATTGTAGGTGGGGTGAGTGAATGTACAGCGCTCTCTCCCACCTTCAATACCACGACTGAGGTGCCCTTGAGAAAGGCACCGAACCCCCAACTGCTCCCCGGGTGCCGCAGCAAAAAATGGCTGCCCACTGCTCCGGGTGTGTGTGTTCACTGCTGTGTGTGTGCACTTTGGATGGGATAAATGCAGAGCACTAATTCCGAGTATGGGTCACCATGCTTGGCCACATGTCACATCACTTTCACTTTCACTTTCACTTTTCACTTTCATTTCAAGTACATCTCTCACAAAAATGTACCACAGTAGGCTAAACCAAATTACTACAGTAAATATCAATCTTTGTGACACTTTATTTTTTACTTATTTTGGATGATATTTTAAAATTGCATTAATAACCTGACAAGTCTGGCTCATTCCTAAGTAGAAAAGCTGTATGTAGTTTACCATACTGCTAAAACTGTCGTACATACTGCACATAGTAGGCTACTGTAGTGCTAAACTGCCACGTATTGTACGACCAGATATTTTGACTTCATCATAATAAGCTAAAGATTCTTTGCACATTGATCAGGCATTGCTGTATTCAATATAGATACTGTTTATGAGATTATACATGAACTTCGCAATGTCCGTCCAACAATTAGTAGCCTACAGTGCTTAGGACTGCAGGGTCCACCTGCTGGCCAAATGCAGGCAGAACATATCATAAATTAATATTAGTCACTTCATTTGACAAAACTAGGATTGAGTTTTAAAATTTGCGTGGGATATGTACAAGTTCAAACAGCACTGTTGTGACAATCATTAATAATTCTTAATATCATAAATTTAATCAACACCCATTAAAATCGAAATGAGTAATTATTAGATTTACTGTATATGATTAAATACGTAAACGTAGATCTTACGCACCACTAACAATTTTATTTGTTTATTTATTTATTTAAATAAAATGATAAAACTTAAACAAATTACAATGTGATTACTGAGATTGAGAAAAACTCAATCTCAGTAATCTCAGTAAACCACAATCACCACATGTCACCTGTAGATTTAGATGATTAATAAACACATACACGCACATTTCAGTTCATTTTATCTATCAGTGTTTTAAATGAGTTGACAAGTCGTTTGAAGCAATGGTCATGTTAATGTCCGCGCTGCGGACTCCTCCCCGTTTGGAGCGACCATGCAGCTCCGCACACAACATCATTCAGAGCTGCTCCTCTCAGGCCGCTGGGGGAGCACACTACACGGGACGGCGAAAAAAGTCAAAGGGTTAACTTGGATACACACGCGGCGGTGTTTTGATTAAAAAAACCCATCCAACTGCACACTGAAGCGACTTTGTTATTCACGGGAAGAATTTCCCTTGATATGGGATTTGTTTCGAAAAGTACACACGAGCGTAGTTGAAGGATATAACTCCAGTATGCGGCAGTTTTGAAACAAAGGGGTCTGGAGCGCCGTTGTCTCAGTGGTAAGACGCGCTGTTGTTTTAATAAAGAGCGTTATATTGTTTCCTATAATGTTTCATTTTCAGCTTCTATTTTAGTTTGGATAGTCATAGTTTGGATTAACGCGTTTAACCCGAAACGCTTCGCTTTAATCCTTCACAACTCTCATGTATGCATGATATCGCTGTAATAAGGGTCTCGTGGCGTGCCGCAGGGCTAGATGTGCGGCGCCGGTCACTTTATTTATTTCTGTTTTTTAGAAAGCGATCTAAGATAGGGAAAGTTTATCGCTAGATTGTGTTTAGATAATTAGTTGAGTCTTCCATAAATTAATAGGATAAAGTCTGCTTTTCGGCGAAGCAGCTGTTAGAGTTCAGCGTGAGATGCTTGAACTTTGCTGGACGACTTTAAGCTCAGTAAATTTAGAAAAGAGTTTCCCACAAGCGTCTTTAGTTCCCCTGAAATACTTTTTTCTCTCAAACAAACCTGAAATAGAAGCAGTGTGGTAGAAGTGCCTAACTGAACAGGAATTGTTGCTATCCCTCTCTCACTCTTGTTTGTGTTTAAGGATTGGGGCCCTTTCTGGATGGGAAAGATGGAATCGGAGGGGCAGTGGTGGAAAAGCCAGCTTGCAGCGGACATCCATCAGGCTTTGCGAATTAAGGTGAGTTGTAATAAACAGCTTTGCATTCATCATAGGATATCACAGTGCAGTTTTAATCCAAACGTCCAGGTCTCCAATGGCTCGATTGCCACACGTTGAACTAGATTCAGCTTGACTTGTCCAAGCTTTGATGGGGAAGTGCGAATTGTCACACAGCCCTCAGAAAACATCCTCTGATTGTGGCCTTATGAAGGTTCCTGGCCAAAGCATCGTCTGCAGTATTGTCTGCATTCATATTTTTAAACACAATTCCCTAATAATCATATTGAATATAATTTACAACCAAGAACCAGGACCCTGTGCAAAGCCATTAAGGTACTCTATGGTACAGCCTACTTTTAGTTTAGCTTTATTTTACATATTCTCCTAATTTATTCATTTAACTTTAAAAGTGCTGTGATTATATAGTAATATCACAGAATCACAGAAAGTCTTGGGCCCTGTCATTTTAGCCACAGTTTTAATCCTTTAGCAAATTACGAAAAAGTAGACCAGAGCTGTTATGTCGTTATTGGTAAATCTGTGTCTTGAAACTGGATACACTTATGTTGGAGCACTAGGAAGTCTATTGCTATACCATGTGAACTTTTGTTTCCTCACTGCTGAGTGAATTGCACCCATCAGACAGTGAGGTTTAAGTGCATTTATTTAGTGCACTCTTGTCTTTTTATTGTCCATCCTGTTTATTGCAGGGTGTTCTCACATCCGGTTTGGAATGTGAAGTGTTCTGTTTGTGTGTGTGTGTGTGTGTTTGTACGTGAGTTTGTCTGTTAGCTTTAGATTACCGGACTAAACAATCCTGCTGGGTTTATTCAGCACATGTCAAGGAGAGGCAAAATGATGCATGTGACTGAATGTGGCTTACATTAACCTTTTTTTGGCACATTATTCTCTTCCCCACCTTGGTTATTCAGAGTTGTATGTGAAATCTAGGGATATGTAGGACTAATGCAATGCAGATGCAAAGTGGTTCAGCTGTTTGGGGAAATATGTGGAGATCGGAGGTTTGGTGTTGGTGGATTTTATTTAGACAGAACAATCTCTCTCTCTGTTCACCAACATGCAATCTTCAGTTAATGTTGTGCAGAAATGTTTAGCTGGTGTAAATCTTTGCACAGATAGGCTATAGTTTAATTCATGTTTTGTGTGAGAGGTTGGCCGACTTCACCTCCTACTACGTCAATACTTAGTCTTTGCGATTAACTGAAATCTTTGAGGAGGTTAATTAGCAGCTTTGCTCTTACGATGCTAAATTATGCTAGAATATTTCTTCTGTAATTTTATGTTCCATCACTTTAAATATATGTGTGTGTGTGTGTGTGTGTGTGTGTGTGTGTGTGTGTGTGTGTTAAAGCGTTATTTAGTTTGTCTTAAGCAAGCTAAATGACAATATTCACGCAAGTCTATTTCCTCTTTTTTGTGTGATGTTCAAGTGCCAATTCCTATTTTATCTATGTGAAACCCACAAAAATGTAAAGCCACAAAGCGGTGCTGAGCTAGTTTTATTTCCTCTGGCTTTACCTTATATTATTTATAGATGCTTTGAAAAAGCTTGTTCTTTTGAAAACTGTTTGCATCAAGATATGCAGTTGAGAAACTGATCAGCCATTCAAATACAGCAGCAGCTGTAGGGCTGTCTAAATTGCGGGCAGGCCCCACAAAAGGGCTCCTTGAGAGGGTCAAATCCCAGCCCCTCACCCCACAGGGGACAGATGGCTGTGAGACATGATGGCTAGGCCTGTAAAGGAAGCAGCACTCTCCTCAACAGCCACTATAAAGCAGCACACTCTGCCTGTAGGACTCATGTCTGGAAAGAGTTTGACAATTTAGCTGCTTATTAAGTGTGACTGGAGCTTTTCAGGGTATGTTTGAGTTGTAATTTCTGCGCAGTTGGTATTGGATTAACTTTTGAGAATGGCTCTGGTTTAGTTGATTACAGAGCGTGCTGACAAAAGGCAATTATTTTAATGGGCCTCATTCATGAACATTTTTTAATCTTTTATAATTTGCTTTGAACATGCATTGTCCCTTTGAATGCATAATGCAACATTTAAAAATGGTTTTGTATAATCATGGTTCATACATTTATACTTTTATTTTTAATTGAACATATTTTCTAATCTTTTAGGCTAACTAATTTATTTTATTTAGTTTACTATTATCTTTAACATATTATATACTATTTTATATTATATACAGAATTTATATGGTAATATCACAGATTTTTTTTAATAACTCACAAAAACTACTGTTCAAAAGTTTTAGTTTTATGTTTAAGAAGTCTCTTATTCTCATCAAGGTTGCATTTGGTCAAAAATATTAAACAAAGCAATATTGTGATGAAGTATTTTAATTAAATATAATATAATTTAAAATACAAATAATTTATAATTCTCTATATGAATATATTTTAAAATATAATTTATTTCTGTGATGGCAAATCTGACATTTCAGCAGCTATTTCATATCCTTCAGTGTCATATGATTCTTCAGAAATCATTCTAATATGCAGATGTGATGCTCAAGAAGTTTCTTATTATTATCAATGTTAAAAACAGTTGTGTTTCTAATATTTTTGTGTAAACTGATACATTTCGGGATTATTTGTTCAATAGAAAGTTCAGAAATCTTTAGTAACATTATAAATATCTTTACTGTCACTTTTGATAGATTTAAAGGGGTCATATGATGCGATTTCAATTTTTCCTTTCTCTTTGAAGTGTTACAAGCTCTTGGTGCATAAAGAAGATCTTTAAAGTTGCAAAGACTAAAGTCTCAAATCCAAAGAGATTCTTTATAAAAGTTAAGAGTCAACCACGCCTACCTAAAACGGCTCGTTCTAACACGCCCCCACATGTCTACGTCACGATGTGGGAAGATTTGCATAACGCCGCCCAAATGTTCACGCAAAGAAAGAAGGCTAAACTTTTATTCTCGTTGTAGTATTGTTGCTGCTGCCATGTCGTGAAGACGCTGTGTGTTTCGTTGTGAAAGCGAAACTACTTTGTTTGAATGACAGTGTAGAGGTGAACTTGGAGATGTCACTTTACGTCACAAAGCTGATGAGCAGCATAAAACAGCCAACTTCAATCAACACCATTAATGCAGGTTAGGGCTGTCAGAAAAACATTCGAATTTCGAATATTCGTTGAATTTAAAATAAAAATCCACATTCAAATGCAAAAACATTGCATTCAAATTTTAGGTGTGCGTTGAGGCAGCCTTATCAGCGGGGCACAAGATGCGATGACGATGTAAGTGTCGTTGCATTATAATGTTGTTGTTAGCCTATACAGTTGAAGCCACTAGATGCGTCTCGCACAAAAGAGCCGCATGTTTAGAAAGCCATGTAAAATTAATGCAAGTTAATTCTATATCGAGACTTTATGGTGGGGTTTTCCCTATCCCACTGCATCTCATGCTTTTAAATGAAAATTTTACTCTGTGTGATTGGCTTTCCGCCCTTTGTATTAAACTATGCATACATACATGATGCTGTTTTGTTTATAGTTGTTTAAGGACGAAGCGGAGTCCAGCCCGGGGTCGTCACATGTGGAAGCCCGCCGGACGTTCCTCACTCTAGCCTACCTCTGCTCACTCTAGCCCGCCGTGTGTGACGCTGTGTGTTTCGTTGTGAAAGCGAAACTACTTTGTTTGGCACA